ATCAGGCAATTAAACCAAAGACAAAAATGACTTGAATTGTCTGTTTTGCCAACTCTTTACTTATGCATAATGATGTAAGTACGCACACAGGTGAAACATTCGCCTGCATCAGAAATGTGGTCTCTCTGCAGTTGTCACATATAGCATCTGTCCTCACCTGAACAATCTTATTGTTAGTATACAGATCTTTAATTCATGCATTTTCATCATTTTACTTTATGATTCCAGTATAATTTGATGTTTATTGACGCTTGTATTGCTTCTTCAATCAACAGCTACATTAGAGTATTTTAATCAGTTCAATCTTTATGCTAAGCTTTTAAACGAACTGAAATTTCCTTCATTTTTATGCAGTTGGGTTTTAGATTTTTTTATTAGACAGGAGACAAGCTGTGAAAGTGGGTACAAGTACTTCTGATATTGTGGTTTTTAAATACAGGTGCGCCTCAGGGTTGTGTTCTGTCACCATGTCTGTACAGCATGTTCACGTATGATTGCGTTTCATCTCACGAGAGTAATTGCATTGTGAAGTTTGCAGACGACACCATTTAAATTGGCTTAATAAGTGTTAATGATGAGAACTGGTATAGAAACGATGTCAACTCAGTTGTACAATGATGTAAAGACAACGATTTGTTACTGAATGCAGGGAAGACTAAGGAAATGATTGTTGACTTCAGAAAGAATAGAAATGTGAAAGAACCCATTCATATCAGTGGCACTGCGGTAAAGCGAATAACCGACTTTTAGACTACTGGGGTAGAATTCAATAGCTCACTTACATGGAAGGACCACATAGACAAACAGATAGAAAAAAGCGAGGAAAAGGGTATATTTTTTAAGAAAGTTGAAGGATTTTACTTCAAATGAAATGATTTTAGCAAACTTTTATAAATGCATTATAGAAAGTATATTAACATTTGCAATTATGGTATGGGCGGGCCACTGTAGAAGAACGTAAGCGTCTAGATATGGTCATATCAACGTGCGGCAAAATCATCGGTCTGGAACTCCCCTCTCTGGGTGCCATCTATACTAACAGATCAGTAATAAGAACAGAGAAAATCATGTCTGACTATACCCACCCCGCACATGGGCTTTTTAAATTTTTACCTAGCAACTGCAGACTTATAACTTTTAAGGGATCTAAAAGGTTTTAAAGAGTTTTTACCCATCTGCTGTATCTTCTTTTAACAAAAAATGGAAATTTATAATTTATAATATGTAACCCGAATAGCAGTCCGATTTCCGTTTTATATATATTATTATATTTATATATATTTTAATATTAAAATATATTAATGGCTGAATAAACTCTTATCTTATCTTATAATCAAATGTATAAAAATCTTTTCATGTCTAAGAAGATAAGAATTTTCATTTGTAGGGACAATGTGCAATTGAAAGCTTTTTAAAGCGAATAAAAGCAACTTCACACGTGAAAGAAGCCAACTGCACATGTGGGCATCTAATTCACGTGTTTAACCAAACAAATAGTTTTAAAATAGACAAGATATATGAACAAAATATGGGATAAATCAAAAGGAGGCACAGTAATTATCAAAGCTCTCTCTCTAATTCTGGCAATTTTTAAATAATACGTGGACTATTGTAATTTTACGTATTAAAATATATAATATTACAATAGTCCACGTATTAAACCCTACAGTCCACAATTAAAACCACGATCACATATTATCACTGGGACATCTATCACAAAATTGTGACATATATCACATCTTAAAACAAAGGAGGGGGGGGGGGCTTAACTGAACCTAACGCAATGTACGTAGAATGTGTCGTGCTCAACACTCCGTCGCAGCTAACGCAATGACGTGAACCATGTGTGTTTTGTTTTTTCACAAATGCTGGCAGTAGGCACAATGGTCGGAAAGCTTGATAACGTCAGCAGTTTTAGAAGTAATTGTTTCTCTCGCTAAGTTTCTTTTTAAATTTGTCCAGTGTGATGATACAAATTAAATGGCCATTAGTTGTTTGGTAATTAATTTAAAGCGAGGTAAGTCCCGTTCACACTATTTTTGTTTGACTTGCGATCAGGCGCCTCGTTCACACGAGAGGCTTTACAACGATAGAATTTAGATTTGGCGTAATCGCAATTCTAAATGCAGTGTGTGAATAGGAAAATACATAGTCACAAGTTACGCACACCTGATAAATTAAGAAAGAAGCTTACCGGAAAGTTTTTTTAAACCTACAGGTACGTTTATTGCGTTAAAAATTTTAGATTACAATTTTTTGGTAAAAATTGGAACCACTGTATGATTGGACTCGATGAAGGTTACCGAGGTCAGAGCTGAGTTGTCGTTGTTCAGGTACAGGTCATTAACGCTGCACTGAGGCAAGGAAACGCTATGTATACTGAGTGTGTAAAACATCTCGCTTTGTGTGATAGATACAATACGATTCGTCGAGCTGTACGTGAAATATTACGAGTGTTTTGTCGAGCCGCAGGCGATAGTATATTTAAGCCTCGGTCACAACCGGCCGCACGGGCTCTTACGGGCTGTACGGAGGAGGATGTTGCAATTGAAAATGTCCAAAAGATTCTACGAATAGCCTGCGAACAGCGAGGCCGCAAGCGTAACTTGCTCCCCTCGCACGGAGTTAGCAAGAGAGACGCGCGTTGTGCACGACGCACGTCGCAAGCAATGAAGGAGCAAGTGCCCTTTACGTGTTGAGTAAGGCGCACGCCCTCACAACTAACGAACAAAGTCGAGAGCACACCGGGAATGCGTCACACGTGCGTCACCCCCAATTATGGTGTATGAAAGGGGTGCTCACGACGCACGCTTGTGTCTTTACAATGAACGTCGACTGTGTAACGTGTACAACAATTTTCAAATTTTTTACAAATTTTTGCTCAATTTAGTTTCTAATATGCCTCCAAAAATAGCAAAAGGCAAGAGAAAGAAGTTTACATAGTAGAAAAAAGGGAAGAAGAAGAAGAAGAAAGAAGAGGAGAACAGGAAGCAAAACTGACGTACGCCGTCAGTACGTCACCCAAACGTGTGAGGCAAGTTTGAAGCAAAACTGATGCAGAAGGGCACTACTTTCGCCGTGCGTTGCATTCCCTTCGTAAGTGATGAGTGTGTGCCACGTACACAGGAAGCAAGACAAACTCAAGAAATGAGTACAACTTCCACGGTCATCACCCCTTGCAATTAGTGTCCCAGGTTGAAAGGACATCTCATGTGGCCCTTGCGACTCGCAAGGCAGACTTTTCTCTACCTCTACGACCTCCAGGGCCACCGCAACACCCAAAAATCGCAGGGGACGTACGATCCTGAAATTCGTGCGTCCGGTTGTGACCGAGGCCTTAACTAATGCTTTGGTGGATAAAGAAGTAAAGACGCAATATTTTGGGAAAACATTTTGAATTGACAAGACTACAGCAGTTAATCAAACTTAAGACATTTTGTCGAAAATAATTCCGTATCGCCAACACTTTGATGTTTTGTATGCATTCATTTATTATTACTTTTTGTCTCGATATATTTTCGCTTATTGCGTTCCGCAACGTATTCTTGTAGTTTATAGCATAATGGGTGAATTCTAGGAAGACATATTTACACCTGCGTCATATGGTCTTGAGGAAAGGGAGAGTGTGTCTTTGCGTGCACGCGAGAGTAGAGGCATTCTTAATGGCAGATTACATAGCATGTGTAATATTAAATGCATAAAGGAAGTTGCTGATAATTGTGTGTCAAGATTTTATTACACTTATAAAATTCATAAAGCTGATGAAACGGGTCCCAATTTTGTTTTTTTTTTTTTAACCATGGCTAAACAAAGCTATAGAATAAATGTGATAGTTTACGAAGAGGACAGTTTACGAACCCTCAACGTGTGTGTGTGTGTATTTTTCCTTTTTTGACGAACCACCAAAAGCCCGTTAATTGTATCAGTTGTAATATTTTCCAGGGTGTTCATGATCATCACGTGACCTAATGATGCTCTTGGTCTTGCCAGATTTAGTTCAATTTTTGCCTGAATTCCTGAAACCTTATTACATGGCTCGAGTTGATATCAGACACTCTTGTGCTAGCAGGATGCTGAAAAATTGATAAAGATAAATTGATAAAATAAAATCAGAGTCTTGTTTTTCCGAAAATTAATCTCAACTTTAGACCAAAATTTTAGCCTTCCCTGTATAAGCTAAAATAATACAGTTTCTGCAAAATTCACAATTTTCCCCATTAAAAAGATCGATTAATCACCTTGAGTCTTTGGGTAAGAGTGCATTCGCAGAGATTAAGATCGATCTTACTAGATCGACCTAACTTCCTGGGGGTTCACGCTAAATTGCAGTCAGGCGACAGCGCACGGAAGTTAATTACTCCCTTACAGCTTGTAGTAGGCGGGACGGACATTTTAAAAGTCGGATTATCTGACAGTAATCTAGTGAGACTCCCCACGGGGATAGATCGATCTTAAATCTATGGGAATGCGCCTTAAGACCCACCTTTGCCTCTGAATGTCGTTCGGATCCTATGTACACAGGGTTGAGTGCGATCAGGGCTTGGCATGGGGAGGCTGCAAACTTCAACCCAGCAGTCTGTGCTTGGCGGGAGGTTATTTATGAAGAAGTGGAACTTGGGGTTGAAACACAAGAAAACTATTTATGATTCAATTATCAAATTGGTTATGGTATATAATAAATGCAAGGAATCAGAATTTAACTTCCAAAAACCACACGGATTTTACCTTAATTTATTGTTTATATGCTTGTGAAAGTTCTTGTGCATATATGCATGTTTGTTGGCACGTATAGTGCTAATGTGTGTGTGTGTGTGTGTTTGTGTGTGTGTGTGTGAGAGAGAGAGAGAGAGGGAGAGAAAGGGAGAGAGAGAGAGTACGTCTGCATGATTTATTAGTGCAGAAATCAATATACAATCAGATGTAAGTTCACCAAAACACATTACAAACATTTATACAATATACAGGTACATGATTGTATAAAAATAAAAAGCAACACGTACTTCTGGTTGTTTCAAGTGATCAGAATCATTCCAGACAGCCTCAGTCATGTTGTAGAATCTACATATATTTTCGTTCACTCTGTACCCATTTAAAAACAATATGGTCACCTTAAATCCCTTTGTGTAACGGAATCCAACTGAAAGGTGAACAACAATCTTCGTAGACCAATAGTTTCAATGTGTATGGGTCCTTACATAATTCTGGTATTAAAACATGCAGTTATGCTTGGTGCCTCTAACAAAATACATCAACACTGACAGCATGTATACCAATATATATTTTAAATCTTATCTGACAAAGGGTTGATTATCACATCTAAACAATTCTTACCATCATCAGCTGCCTTCCAAGTGATACTGAAAGCAGGATAATTAGAAACGATACGCCCATCGTAAACATAATCTTTAAGGATGGATTTTACAGTCAACTCAGTGGGAGCACTAGGATTGAGATTATTGTTAGTCAAACGTGATAGCCAGGCATCTAAACAGTTTTTACCTGAAAATAAATAAAATATTAAATTAAAGAATAAATTAATTATTCAATACAAGGTAAATGTATCGGTAACTATGTATAAATATGCACTCGTAGTAATATATAAAACCAATAAATATATTTTAAACCACAAGAAAGTCCGTCTGTTACATATCATTATGTATTATGAAAATAATACGCATCACTTTTTATGAACAATTTTAACATTAAATCTCTGTAATCTTGCCTTTATTACATTCTCCTCTTCAATATTGTCAATGTTAAAAATTATAAGACATCAATTGTAAAATAATATTTAGTTTAATCAAAAGATATTTTGTGCCGTGAATGACTAGTAATGACTATTTAAAAAGCAGACATCATTTTGGCAAAAATAAATTATTAACCATTTCCTAAATTATGTACGTACGTATGTATATATTTTGTTCAACAATTTTATGGTATCTAGTAATCACAAAAGGTCAACTTACTAACAGTACATTTCAGATGAGGGAAGCCCTGCAAAAAGATACAATTGTAGCAATTAATTAAAACTCATAACTAATAATGTCATTATTTACCTTGAAAAATATTTCAGCATGATCAGGCCTACCCAACTACCAGACTCGGCACCAATGATCCTGAATTCACCGGTAGATCAAACCACACTACCCGTTTTCAAGGTGTGTGTGTCAGATCGCATTACACAGTATCATACCCTGAACAAATTTTGAGTGGTGATGCAATGCTTTTCAACCCCGCTGAGAATCGTCACTATCACATCGCGTACTAGGCAAGAGCGGTGTCGCGTCTGATAGTGTGAAATGCGTACTGATACACACCTTGAAAACGGGTAGTGTGGTCCGATTTACCGGTGAATTCAGGATCATTCGGTGCCTAGTCTGGTAGTTGGGTAGGCCTGATGATAATGCTCCACCACGTACACCACGTACAGCCAATGCAACAGCAGACCGGTTTTAGCAGGTTAAAATACCAAGACGACCTCCGAGGAAGCTATTGTAAGCAGCAAAACAGTGTCGTCTGTTTCTCTAATGAATCTCTTAAGAGGTTATTACAGAGTATCGCCATCTATGATAGTCACGTGGTCCGATGGCAAGCACAGATTCCAGAATAATTGCGATTACCGTTTTGGTGGTAGAACAGAATCTACTATATTTCAACGAGTTGTTTACAATGTATTGTGAAATATGAATCTCATACGAAGAGTTGTTATCCCTTTAATATTGGCACAATGCTAATTTCTCTCCTTCCTTTTCATCAATACCAATTTCTTGTTTATCCATAAATAGATTTTTTTTAAAAACTTGCAACTAACAATCACCACCAAAAGATGTGTTTTAAGCCTCTCTTACAACCCGTTGTGCGTGCTTAGAGATAGTGCGTCCTCGGAGTTCTTGTCAGACGTAGCGTTGTCGCAGGATGAAAATTAAATCGCAGCGGACGAAGTAGTAAGTACTTTAGGAGTACGTGTGTCGTGCACTAAACGTGGGGCCCGCAAGTGGTCTGTACGCCTTTTTTTGGAAGTAGAAAGAAGTAAGGAGCACGTACGATCTGTACTTGTGTCACACACAGTGAGTGAGATAATCATACGTGTATTTCAAGTGAAGCGTACGTTTTCAGAAATCGTACTTACGAGGTAAGAGAAACGTAAGAGAAACGTAATAAGCACGGAAGTGGAACGCACGGATAATATAATAAATAATAATATATAATAAATAATATAAAAGGGAGCACCGAGTCTCTTCATCATTCACTGTTTTGGCTTCCAAAATGGCACTTCCAAGAAGGATGCGCCATCGACGTCTACAACTGCTAACAAACCGAAAATCAAGACGCAATGCTTGCAGTGGTTGCTCGGGATCGCCTGCACTTTTATCGTGCTGGGCACGTGCGTCGTCTTAGTGTGACGCACTTCACAAGTATGGTAGTAGTACTCGCCACGCACTTTGGAAGTAAGATAAACGCACGGAGGAAGTGCGCTCACCCCCCTTTTTGTTAACACGTACATTGAAAGCAAGTTGAAGGTACGAGTCTCTTGCGTGGTAAGTACGTCTTCGTGGTAAAATACCCCGGAATTTCTGCATGCTTTTCCTGCGTTACACGCACGCCTAGCGCAATTATTCAGTAATTTTGTCTTGCGTGCTACGAGCGTGCTCCAGGCGTTCTAATTGTCGCAGACAGGTCGTAGCGAAAAACTGGCCGGCCAGTTTTCGGGCTGCGTGCTTTGCGTCGTGTTTGCGTCCACCAAAAAAAGTACGTTCCACGTGCGTGTATCTTACTACTTGGCCAATTTTTTGCACGCAAACCGCTCGTAGAAGCACGCACGACCGGTTGTAAGAGTAGCTTTAAATCATCCTAAAAGCTCACCTACCGGTGGTGTACAATCTTGTCCCCAAGAGAGCCTCGCAATTTGAACAAACACAAGTTCTAGTACAAGTTTCACTGACATTCTTTGCCGTTTTTTCTCTCCTGCTTTCACAAGCTTGAGCTGTGCTGCTTTGTGGATGGTTTCATGGAATTGGCTCGATAAGAACTACTTATAGTCCCATTAAAGTGCCCATATTATTAGTTCCTGTGAAAGCTGCTGTTTGCGGGTCCATGAATGGTGAACCATGATTCGTCTTTTTTGTTATGATATGGTTATGGAGTGTTCGTTTTACTTCATCACATCACGTAAAAATGTGTTTTAAATCCCAAGTGTTAACTGCGTGCCCACAAGAGAGTAAAAATAGTGGCAACTAGGGGTTCAACAGACCAAAGTGATAAAAGTTGGTGCGGTAAAAGGTCCTTATGAAAAAGTTTTCACCATTATGTTCATGGATGTTAATATTTTCTTTTCTTTTCTTTTCAAAAACAAATTATCCGGATGGAAACTTTCATAGAATTGAACAAAACTTCACAGAGACCTTTAAAAACTGCAGTCACAGTGCATTTATACAGAACAACATTTTAATCGGTGTTTGGGGTGGTAGGGTCTTTATCATCATTTTATATATTTCCAACATTCAATTACCGTACGAGTCACGTATCTTGTCACCAACTGTGAAGAAAGAAATGGCGAAAAGAATATAAGCACTTTATTTAAGTATCTATTGGGTCACTTGCACTGAATATATTTTCTATTGAAATGTTAAGCGGTATGTCAGTCAACAAATGAGGGGCAGAAAACTACAGCGTAGTAACATTTGGAGTAATATGTTCTGTCTATTGATATGGCTACAAAATAGTGAAAAACGCAGTCCACTTGAGACCTGATGTACCGGGCCTGCATGTTGTTGACCAACTCCACTCAAAATCAGATCAAAATAGGGTTAATACTTATGTGCGGTGGGAATTATATGAAAATTCGCCTTGAAAAAGAAAAGAAGAAAAGAAGAAAAAAAAGAGAAAAAAGAACATAATGTGCATTGAGATGAAATATTTCCAGTGTTTCTAAAACTGTCATTCTTGGACAAACGCAAGGTCTTTAAGTGCCCTGAAACTTTAAACTCCAGCGTGCCTCTAGAAGAAAAGGGGAGATCAGATGCCAACAATAACAGCATCCACTTACCTCTTTAACAACTTCCTGTTCTAATGTGTTGAATGATTACTTGTTTTCAAGTTACTCTTATAATCACCAGCTTTTTTGTATTCGAGTTAACACCAGGAGAAGGCGTGCTACTCTGTTAAGCTGATTGCACTTAGGGAGAGCCTCGATCTGTAGAGATAAGCTGACCTACGTAGGCCTATGTGTCCCTAGGTCTTAAGTTAGTTGTACTAAATTGCTTCCCAAGCCTCTACTCTGTGCTTTCCTTAATTTGAAACCGAAGTGTTATTTTTAACGAAATTTATAGGAAAAGAAACTGTTTATATTGGCCAAATAATGAATTTTCTTGGGGTGAACAGCAATTTTCACATACAATGGTAAATGAATCAGTTCCGTCAATCGAAATTAGTTAATTGTTTTTTTCTTTTTAGATCAGGAGTTCTTCCATAATATGTAGAAACAGTCCGCTTTGTTAACATAAAATTAGAAGATAGACTCTGTATTCTCTGTAACGATAAAAAAGTAGAAGATGAGTGTCATTTTTTTATTTGATTGTCCAATTTAAAAAAATTCAGGAAAAAATGGTGTGAAAAAGTAAAAATGGGCGATCTTATCTTTCCTGACCTGGTAAAATTTTACTATAGACGCCTGACTATTTTTGGCCGAGATACAGACTGGGTGTTGACGCTCTCACCTCCCTGAAGAGAATACAGCTATACTGCCGCATGAGGCGCTCAAAGTTATCAAAAGAACAATATCTTTCGCCGTCATGCCAGGAACTTCACCTCTGCTTCAACCCGTAAATGCTGAGTACCAAGCGGGGAGACAACAGGAACCGTTTTTGAAGGTCTGGTACCAATATGTCCTCGGACGGGGCCAAACCCACGTCCTCTTGGTGCGAAGGCGGACACTCTGACCACATCCGGGCGGTTACGAGAAAGTAGTCGGTGAATTTATAACGAAATAGCAGCAGATGATTGGAATTTCCGAGACCGTCTCTACCATCAAATGCAGTGATCTCTCTTTGCCATTTGGAACAAGTAGAATTTTTTTCATGTTGCGATTTTAGAACCGTTTGTAAATTAGTCACGCTAAACACTGTTAGTTAAGTTGGTCTTGGATAATTAGTAATATATGAATTAAGGCGCAAAAATCCTCTGACTCTAGGGCGGTGTTTCGCATACAGCTGATCATTACTATTTTACAGCGTATCGTTTTTGTGTACACGAAAAACAATGTCATTTTATACAATCCCTAACAAAACGCTAATAAAACGCACCGTATTTACGTCGATTTTATATTTTGACCGTATAGTGATCTGCACTATCCTTGTAGACATTAACCTATTCATGAAACAGGTGCTACATTATTCTGTAGCATCCATCCAGAACTCCTGAAGCAATACTGGTATAATCAAGACTGAGCAGGGAAATGATTTATTGTGCCGTATCCCTGGGCAAAAGGAATTTTTTGTTATGCATGTCTTATGGCAACGTTATGTACATTTAACATAGGGACTCGAATCTTAAAAAGCATTAACTCACTCACTTACCAGAGACAGACTATGCAATAAACATGTTAACAATTTTACAGTGCAGGTGAATATAAACCTACCTGAGGACAGCCATTCATTAGAAAAGCCCTTCTCTTTTCTAGATGCCAGTTGCACGTATAGAAGACAAATTAATATAACCTAACCGGTAAGGTATGTAGCATTTAATTATCTCTGCAAAACAATGAAGGTATTTTTCAGACTTCGTGCTTATCTGTATTTACACTAGGTAATATATCTCAAAACACCCCCGTGTAAGCTGCGATCTAGCTACTCAAAACGACTCCCATTTCTGTTGGGGGGGAGAGATAGGGTTTATCAACTGGAAATATTCTTTCCACTTGTAAATTCATAAACTACCGAGATAGGAATAGGTAGAGGTGTGAATGACATTGTGATACATAACATGCAATAATAGTGGTGAAAAACAGATGTTGAGAGAAGGTGTGAGGTTTTGTACGAAGTCATGTTTAGGTCTTGGTCATTATTCTGTGGGGTGTAAAACTTAAGGTGAAAGTAGTGCATATAAGACATGACTGTCCATGGCTTGTCAAGAAACCCTTTTGACCTACATATACGTTATATTGGCCATCGGCAAAAGAGGGAAACATCTGTCTAGAGAAGCTAACATTCTCACCAAATTAACTCATGATACTTAGAATGCATTTTTCATTTCTGCTAAAGAAAAACATATTGAGCTATTTTCAGAACCTTTAAATTGTATTAACAATTATTTTTTTCAGATTTTTACAAATAATTTAAAGGGAAAGATAACGCAACTGCTTTTTTAAAGAGAACAAAATGGCGACAGCATGCCCTCAAAGCCCGCAAAATATTGAGAGAAATCCTGGACTTCACAGTAACCACGCAATATTACAAGCTATTAAAGAAAAGATTATGGAAGAGAATGACAGGGTAATTATGACATTTGAAAATAATTTGATTTTTATCATGGCATTTGCATCATGGTGTAAGACTTCTTTAAGTATGCAACCACAACTGTAATTTGTCTGAAAACAGAAGTCCACTAAATAAGAATACTGTCACCAATAAGACTGTCCAGTAAAGGCATTTTTGCTATTTCTCATAGGTAAAAATCAGTTTCGTTTGAAAAGGTTTACCTTTTAATCAGACTACGTTCTTTTAGTAAATAATCTAAAAACAAGTGTTGATGTTTTAAAGCTTGTGTTGCAGACATTATACATGTATATGTACTCAATTATTCAATTATCTGCGAAATTGGTCCTTTCAGTAACCATCAGCAATAGATTAAAACCACCCACATTGGTAATCTACAGTTATTGGCATCTTTTTCAGAGGACCGATGTTTTTTATTAATGTTATCGATTGTTGTATAAATATCCAGATAAATCCAAAAAGAAAAGCATGCAAAAGAATATGATTCTTGCTACGGTCAATTAAGTGTTGTAGCCAACACAATTTCCTACATATGATTAAATTTATTGCAGCGACCCTTCTATATCGTTAACTTGGATGACATCGTTGACAAGCACAAGCAGTGGCTGGCACAAATGCCACGTGTCAAACCCTTCTACGCCGTGAAATGTAACAACACTGAGCCAGTCGTGAAGACGATTGCGGCACTTGGAGCGGGATTTGACTGCGCCAGCAGTGCTGAGTTCCAGCAGGTTCTAAACCTTGGGGTGGGGACAGATCGGATAATATATGGCCATCCTTGCAAAGATCCCCAAGATATCAAACTTGCTTCAAAACAAGGAGTCGACCTAATGGCCTTTGACAACGAGTGTGAATTGTTCAAGATAAAGAGACTCTATCCAAGTGCAAGACTTGTGTTACGGATCCAACCACAAGATGACGAGGATGTATATAAACACGGCAAGATGTATGGTTGTGCCTTAGACCAATGCAAAGAACTTCTCGTGAAGGCGAAAGAAATGGAACTGACTGTCGTGGGTGTCAGGTAGTTCAACAAATGTTTCTATTATCCGGTGGCTGTAACATTAATATCATTGAACTACAACTGTTTTGTCTATTCAGAAACTACTGTAGACGCATTGGTTCACAGCTTAATTGAATCACTCTGTATAAACACAGTTTTGTAAACCATATTCATACATCTAAATCTCAAATGTATGTATGTATCTCTTTTATCTTTCATATTTAAGTTAACAATTTAAGTTTCTTTTTGAATTTGTCCAGTGTGATGATAAAAATTAAATGGCCACTAGTTGTTTGGTAATTAATTTAAAGCGAGGTAAGTCCCGTTCACACTATTTTTGTTTGAATCGTTCACACGAGAGGCTTTACAGCGATAGAATCTAGATTTGGAGTAATTGCAATTCAAAATGCAGTGTGTGAATAGGAAAATACATAGTCACAAGTTACGCACACCTAAATATAAATTTTGAAATTTAGAATTTTGAAATGATTAAGTTAGTACATGTATATGCATCCGCACTGCATCCTTAATAATTAAAGTAGTAAAAGTGTGAAATTGAACAATTTTATTATTTGCTATAGTTAGGTATGTAATTCAGTGTTTCACAAAATTTTATTTTCCTTAGCTTCCATATCGGTGGCCTCTGCACTGATTACATGGCCTACCACCACACCATACGCCTGTGCCGTGACATCTTTGATGATGCCAAATCCATGGACTACAACTTCAGCTTACTGGACATTGGTGGCGGGTTCCCCGGTTATGCAGTCGAAAACAACCCAACATTCTCTGATGCTGCCAAAATCATAAACATGGCGCTAGACGAATATTTCCCTAAAGAAGAAAATGTTGAAGTCATTGCTGAACCTGGAGCGTACTACGTGCAGTCGGCCTTCACGTTGGCACTACGAGTTACCGGAAAACGAGTTCTACGCTCGGCAAACTCAGCCAAGGTTTGTGCATTAATTTTTTTTAAGTTGTGTATGAAGTTAAGTGTTTGATAAACTCTACCAAATGCCATTATATAGTTTCTAATAACATAACGTAAAAATTACTAAGGGGTGTCGTTTCATGCATGCCGAAAAATACTATTTGAACATGTTTTCAGCTTTATTTCTTTGCTATATGTTTCACTTGATTGTTTCTGTCAAGTCTTGAAATTTAGTGCTATTGTGTGCGTAGCAGTAATGCGTAATGTTCTAACTACGTCAGGCAGTTTAACAATCTGAGGGGCGGATAAATATATCAAGTTAATGTCCAACAATAAGTTTTTAAGCCATTATTTTGGCAGACCGAGGGATTATATTGGCTTATCTCTTGGCATGACTTAACTTGAGTCGTGTAAAAAACTTGTAGAAGTGGCTCATGTGAGATATAGGGAAACGACGCTCACTGCATACATGTCTGTAATTTTAATTTTGGCGTTTGCTTACTATTTGTTTAACTTTTCGTGACTAATCTATTAGATCCGTTTCAAACTACTTTAACATGATCTCTATCTTTTTTCATGTGCCATAAAGGTCTCTCAACAGTCATACTTCTACTACCTCAATGACGGAATCCATGGGTCATTCTTTTGCAATTTGTTATTTTTGGCTGACAAGCTGGTTAGAAATTTTCACGTTGTAAAGGTATGTAGCTAATACAATGACCATGAAAAGTATTTACATGAGGTTTCACAAATATCAGGGGCGGATTCAGAGCTATTTTCTGACAGTCTTCCAAATGATCTTTGTTGATCCTTCCTCCAATTTTGACAGTCTTCCAACAGAAAAAATAAGATATCTTTCAATGTAAACTTGAAAATCTGACCGTCTTCTGGAAGACCCAGAAGACGGCTTAAATCCGCCCCTGAATATAGGGTAAAATCTGGTAACCACATTGACTGATAGAGTAAAAAATGAGTAAGTAAAAGGTTTATTATCTAAACCTTTTGGTTATAATCCAAAAATGTTACAGGTTATTTTTTCCTCCTTTTTTGTTAATTTTTCTTTTTTAAATAATAATAGAGCAATCAACACAGTTATGTTTTATGCCTAAATACATGTATTTGGTTTATATATATATATATATATATATATATATATATATATATATATATATATATATATATATATATATATATTCACACACGATACGCTTTGAAATCATTTTTGGATTATTATAGGACGAGGTCCAAATGCCGGTCTACCAGAGCACCTTGTGGGGTCCAACACTCAACCCTGATAATCTCCTGGCAGAAAATATCCAACTGCCCGAATTGGACATCGGAGACTGGTTGTACGTACCTAACATGGGGGCATACACTATTGTGCTTGCATCCTCTTTCAATGGGATTGCTCCACCGGAACTATTTTATTTTGCGTCTGATGAAATCACCTCCGGACTCGGTACTTAGGGGAGACAGTTGAGGAGTTTGTATATCTGTCTTGATTGGAGTCCATATCAATCACATGTTGAAAAAAACATGGGAACAATATGAACTAAAACGTAGACAATATCAATTAAAACGTATTACATGATCGTAGAAACTTAGAAAAAATTGCCTATTGCTACTTTCAGTTTTAATCCTCATTTTCCACGCCTCATTTAGGCGTCTTATATTCCTCTTACATTCAGACAGTAACACAGGTATAATCTAGTCTAAGCAGGAAAATGTATCGTATACCTGGGTAAAACGAAATTGTTATGCACGGCATATACGGCAACATAATGTACATTCAACATAGTGACTTGCATATCAAAAAGAGTCATTAACACACTCACTTACCAGAGACAGATTATGCAATAAACATCTTACAAGTTTTACAGCCATTCATTATTCTGTAGCAGCCAACCAGAACTGCTGACGCAATACTGGTATAATCAAGTCTGAGCAGGAAAATTATTTGTGCCGTATGCTAGGGCAAAACGATTTTTTGTCATATAAGGCAACATTATGCCCATTGAACATAGTGACTCGAATATAAAAAAGCGTTAACACACTTACCACAGACAGATTGTGCAATAAGTTTGTTAACAGTTTTGCAGTGCAGGTGAATATAAACCTACGTGAAGACCATTAGAAAGGTCCTTCACTTTTCTTGATGCCAGTTGCACATGTTAGAAGGCAAATTAATGAAGACTAGCCGGTAAGCTATTTATCGTTTATCTATGTAAATCAATGAAGACATTTTCAAACTTTGCGTTTATTTATTTCACCATGGTAGATTGCCAACACAAACGTCTAGGTTGGCGATGCTCAAAAATCATGGAGTACGTAATGCCAGTGCATTAATGATCCAACATAAGATTAAGTATTTTACATAAGAGGTGAGGATTTCTCACGTGGGCCTGCCTATCTCAAAACACCCCCGTGCCAAATCAGGTTAAAGTATCAGTATGACAAAAAATGAGGAGAGGTGTGAGGTTTTGTTAGTCGTCTTGTTTAGGTCTTGGTCATTAATCAGTGGGATATAAAGAGATCTGAAGAGTTAAGATGCACAGGTTTCTGAAATGTGCAATAATAGTAATGGCCAATATTATTCAACCGTTGAGATGTGCTTTGTTCGGGCTTTAGATAACTTCACACTGTTAGTCAATGCAACCCACAGAAAATTGGATAAAATCTATGTTATGAATAGTAGTGCATATGAGAAATGACTGTTCACGGCTTGTCAAGAAACCTGCTCTACGTGACTGATAGTAGGCTTGTTAAAGATATTATTGCCCTTTACCAAAAACTCCGTATTCGTTGCCTTATATACATTCTTTTGCCAAAAAAATATATTGTGTTCAGTGACTAAATTAATTAACATTTACACACGTCATCTTATGGATGACCTGCGGGGGGGGATCGGTTTCTTAAATTTCTCCTTTACCTGAGCACCCACGAAAAGCGTTTTTACGCTAATTAAATGACACTAAGTACTCCAAAACCAGCCAGCGATTTTTCTTAGTCTTAGGGACCATTCCCAGACCCTATCGTACACACTTCGGATCGATCTATCTCCTAGGGGGTTCTGGCTAAATTGCAATCAACTAAAGTGGCTTAGATGTCTGTCACGCCCACTGAAGCTGATAGGGGGTAATTATCTATCGCTCAATAGCTTAAGTAGGCGTGTCAGACATCTAAAATCCCCTAAATCTGAGAGCAATTTAGCGAAAAACCCCTTGCAGGTAGACCGATCCTGTTAGAATGATCTAGGTATGGGAACCCAGACAACAGGTAAGTTCTAATTGACCCTCAAATCCAAGATGACTGCCAGCCACAAATTTGTTAACGGTTAAGGGATACTTGTAATTCACCAACTTAAGCCCTTGCTCTTACACAAGCATGCTATACATCGTTTTCATCTTTTTGGGTGTAGAAGTCATGTGTGGTATCACCTGTAAGATATTATGCAAGTAGAAATTATTGCAAGGCTCTAACACCAATATAGGCCCAAGTCTTCGCATTCACTTGGATACGTCTTGAAGTCTAATTAGTACAAAAGTATTTTATATAACAATTTTAAATGGATATCGCCAGACCTAGAAACAAGTGCAAGTGACCAGAATGGCTTAATTGACGTTATGATGACCACATTTGAACTGTTGGACTTCAATATGATTGTAATACAGAACAATAAAAAAGGCAAGTGAATTCCAAGATTAATTACATCATACCATTAGTTGTCACTTGCTGTAGATGTGCTTGTTCGTCCATTGGAAACAATTAAAACTTTGTAGTCGCCTTGTGGATTTCTATTGGTAGAGAGATGGCTGGTCTAGGCAAATTGTGCTAGGGAGGGTCACTGTCACTGTCAACTAGGGAAGGAGGCTGCTTCCTGGAGACTTTCTGCATTATGCCCCCTTGGCTACCTGCGCTGCTGCAGTTGTCTCGTTGGTTTTGCAGGTTCTCTCTTTTGTGAAAAGATACCACTTTCCTCTGAGGCAACTTGTTCCCATGCAATGATGCAAATGATGAATGTTTTTTGTGAGGGGTTGCTCTTTTGGCTGCTGCACCTGATGGTTTGTTAGTTAGAACAGTATTTTATATGACGTATGATCAAGCATGCAGACTACATGTCCTATCCAGCTATGCTATAACTGCATCAGGATGGATCAATTGCTCAAGGTTAAACATCTGATCATGAGGACCTCAGCGTTGGAATTTTTTCTTGCAACTTAATGTTTTAACATGAAAGTTGTTCTAGCAGTATGTTTTGTGGAAGTGTCTCAGCTTCTTTGTGTGGTGTTGTTAGCCTGTCTACAATTCATAGCCAAAGCAGGTGGTCACAGGTAAGAACATTGGTGCAGCTAACCTTGACCACATGGTGATGTTTCTTCTTTACCACATATTTTGTGCAATATGTAGTAAGAAGCACTTAGTAAAGCAAGTCACCCAAAGTTAAAGATATTCCATGAGGGATCCTAGCACAGATAGGATCTTGTGTACATGTAGCTGTTAGGGTACTGACATTACCAGTTTGTTGATGCCTCACTGTCTGAGAACCAAAAAAACTTCGGCAAGAGCCTGTCTCAGCCCATCCAGTGCTAGACATCAGTCTTCCGTGATCAATATCTTTCATGGGAAACTCTATGGAATTCAAATCAGATGAATAACCATTTAGACCAGTTTCCTAACGTCTTGCGTATTGAATTTTTTTTTTGCCCGGTGAAGTTGGGCATTGTCATTTCTGGAAATCATCTCTCCATTGCATTCAAGTTGCAACCATAAGTGTATCACACCCTTTGTTCATAATCTACCAAAATTCCAAGCCCTTTCCTTTGGGGATTTTGTATTACATCAATCCATATTATCTCATTTATTGTCCAAATTATTCTAGCTAGTCATTGCCCTCTTCTCTTCTAATAAATAAATAATTAACGTGCTCTCCCAAATTGATGAAACATTAACCTATCCCCTATAAACATGCCATTACCTATATAAACATTATTGTAACATAATTATTATTTTAGGTATCCAAATGTTCCCAAGCTCAATGAAGCTCTGTTTTGGTCATAAATAAATAAGACTAAATCCACATGGCTGGAAAATAGTCTTTTATTGAAATTATTGAAAATCAAAATAACAAAAATTAGGAATAAACAAAGACAATATCAAATAAAGTTATAACCAAAACATCCCCAACACAGCATAGCAAAATATTGGCAAAAATAGGAAAACAATGGCCACAAGATGGTACATCTAGAGAAGCTGACATCCCCACCAAGGTAACTCATGATACTCAGAATGTATTTTTTTTTTCTTTCTGCCAAAGTAAACATACCGAGCTATTTTCAGAACCTTTAATTATTTACAATTAATTTTTTCAGATTGTTACAAATATTATAAAGGGAAAGATAACGCAACTGCTTTTTAAAGAGAACAAAATGGCGACAGCACACCCTCAAAGCCCGCAAAATATTGAGAAAAATCCTGGACTGCACAGTCACCACGCAGTATTACAAGTTATTAAGGAAAAGATTATGGAAGTGAATGACAGGGTAATTACGACATTTGAAAATTATTTGATTTTTATCATAGCATTTGCATTATGACGTAAGACTTCTTTAAATGCAACCACAACTGTAATAAGTCTGAAAACAGAAGTCCACTAAATAAGAATACTGTCACCAATAAGACTGTCCAGTAAAGGCGTTTATGCTATTTCTCATAGGTTAAAAATCAGTTTCGTTTGAGGAGATTTACCTTTTTATCAGACTGCGTTCTTTTAGTTTTCTACTTGATAACAAGTGTTGATAATTTAAGGCTTGTGTTGCAGACAATGTGTATTCAATTACAGTATTCAATTATCGGCGAAATTGGTCCTTTCAGTAACCATCGGCAATAGATTGAAATCACCCACATTGGTCATCTACAGTAATTGGTATTTTTTTCAGAGGACCGACATTTTTGTCAATGTTATTTGATTGTTGTATAAGTATCCAGACAAATCCAAATCGGAAAGCATCCAAAAAGAATATTATTTATGCTACGGTCAATTTAGGGTTGTTGTCAACACAATTTCCTACGTATGATTACATTTATTGCAGCGACCCTTCTATATCGTTAACTTGGATGACATCGTTGACAAGCACAAGCAGTGGCTGGCACAAATGCCACGTGTCAAACCCTTCTACGCCGTGAAATGTAACAACACTGAGCCAGTCGTGAAGACGATTGCGGCACTTGGAGCGGGGTTTTACTGCGCCAGCAGTGCTGAGTTCCAGCAGGTTCTAAATCTTGGGGTGGGGACAGATCGGATAAAATATGGCCATCCTTGCAAAGATCCCCAAGATATCAAACTTGCTTCAAAACAAGGAGTCGACCTAATGGCCTTTGACAACGAGTGTGAATTGTTCAAGATAAAGAGACTCTATCCAAGTGCAAGACTTGTGTTACGGATCCAACCACAAGATGACGAGGATGTATATAAACACGGCAAGATGTATGGTTGTGCCTTAGACCAATGCAAAGAACTTCTCGCGAAGGCAAAAGAAATGGAACTGACCGTCGTGGGTGTCAGGTAGTTCAACAACTGTTACTATTATCCGGTGGCTGTAACATTAATATCATTGAACTACAACTGTTTTGTCTATTCAGAAACTGCTGTAGACGCACTGGTTCACAGCTCAATTGAATTACTGTGTATAAACACGGTTTTGTAAACCATCTTCACACATCTAAATCTTAAATGTATGCATGTATCTGTGTAATCTTCCACATTTAAGTTAACAATGAAAACTTGAGGGTAGAATTTTGAAATTATTAAATTAGTACATGTATATGCATCTGCACTGCATCCTTAATAATTAAAGTAGT